GCTGCAGCTGCGATGCCGGCTTCCAGATGCGAGCCAGCGGCGTGTGCTATGGTAAAAGAGGGGTGAAGGGGGGAAACTGAGTCCCGGCGTTGATGGGAGCCCCAGCTGTGCCCGGCTCTGTTCCCGCAGACGTGGACGAGTGCCAGCTCTTCCAGTCCAGCCCCCAGACGCGGCTTTGCCTCCACAACTGCCTCAACCTCCCTGGCTCCTACCGCTGCCTCTGCCCGCCCGGCTACCTGCTCCACGCCGACCGCAACACCTGCGAGGGTAAGAGCAGGGCAGGGAGCACCCCGTGGGACCCAGGGTGCGATGGGGACAGCCCCGCTTACCCCATGGCACCACTGCAGACGTCGATGAATGTGCCAGGAAGCAGCACAACTGCACCCAGGGCGACCTCTGCATCAACACCTTCGGAGGCCACCGCTGCGTGCGCCCCAAGTGCCCCCCACCACGTCACAACACCAGCTACGTCAAGACCTCCACCTTGTGAGTACCTCACGCAGGCTTTTCTCCAGGGGATGGTTCCTGCGGTGCCCTGAGGATGTATCGTGTCACTCAGGGGCAGCAGGGAAGGTCCTGGCCAAATTGTCACATGGGGTGTGTTCAGCACACTGTCCAGTGCCCTTTGCCAGAGATTTTGAGATGCTCTGGCAGCTTGGGGTGCAGGTGGCAGCACCCCAATAGATGATGGCTTTATCCAGGAGCCCTAGCCCCCCAGGCAGTGCCATCAGCTGCCATCCAGCAGGCAAAACCCGATCTTGAGTCTAAACCGCTTCATGGCTGACCACAAGCCACCCGAGCGGAGGAGCATCCCTGCTCTGGACAAGTTCCTCTCCAGGAGACACGCCTGAGCCTAGCTCCATTTCTGGCCTGCAGCCGGGACTCTGATAGCCCCGGTCCCAGCCTTGGAGCACGACCCAGAGCTGCGTCCCTGCAAGGCAGGGCTGGGACAGAGACCCCATTCAGGGCACGCTCGGCTGTGGCTTCCTTTCTGGTTGCTCTGCCACAGGAGCAGCAGCGGGGCTGGAGGTGCTGCTGGAGGTGTGGGCTGGGCTTGCTGGCAAGGACGCGGGCAGCTCCCCGAGAGCCAAACCGCACTGCTGAGCGGCGGCACCTCATCTCTCCTGGCAGCCAGTGCGAGAGGAACCCCTGCCCCATGGAGAGCCCAGCCTGTCGCCTGGCCGCCACCTCCATCTCCTTCCACTACCTGCCGCTCCAGGCCAACCGCACGGTGCCCCACGTCCTCTTCAAGATGTCCACCACCCGCTTCGTGGGTGACAGCCTGCGTTTCGCCATCATGGGGGGCCGGGGCCAGGGCGTCTTCTCCGTGCGGCGCTCCGACCAGCAGACGGGAGAGCTGGTGCTCACCAGCCCCGTAGTGGGGCCAGCCACGCTGGAGGTGGAGCTGGAGATGAGCGAGTTCTCCCACAAGGTCCTCCTGGGCAAGCACATCTTCAAGGTCACGGCCTTTGTGTCCCCGTATGAGTTTTGATCCCCTTTGGAGGCCAGTGGGGGGTTCAGGTCAGGGTCTCTCCTGGGGAGCGACGGAGCGGGTCCGGCTCAGTGGTCCCAGTTCTTGTCCCTTTGGAGACATCCCTCACCCATAATGCTTGCTCACGGCTAGTGGGGCAAAGCCACCGCAGCAGAAATGGTGCCTGTTGCAAAGGTGACAAGAAAAACCCTGGGGGTGCCTGTCTCTGACAGCCCCCTTCCCCTCTGCTCACACGGCACACGGAGGGATGCGGCAGAGTGAGCCGGTGGTCCGTGGCGTGCAGGTCCCAGTCCAGCTCCTTGTATCTTGTAACCTCTAATAAAAGACAAGTGGCTGCAGGGAGGGTGTCCTCCGTGCTCTATGCCTGCTGCGTGGGAGCAGCTGCCAGGGCAAGGCTCCTCGGGACAGCTGGGGCTGTGGTCACGGCAGGGTCCCCTTGCAGAGCTCGGGGTGCCAGTAGAGATGTCGAGCCCAGCTAGGATCATGCAGTGTCCATGTCCCTCCCTGGGGCCACGCTGAAGAGTCCCCCAGTGCTCACAGACTGGGTGATGGGCTGAACATGCTGCCTTGCACAGCCAGTAGTTGTCCCCAGCCCCTTAGGCAGGTGCCAGGGAAGCGCAGTTGAGCTCCCAGGCACCAGCTGAGCAGGGGATGGCAACTGTTGAACATGGTGAAGTTCAACAAGGGCAAGTGTTGGGTCCTGCACCAGAGGCGGAATAACCCCTGCACCATTAGAGGTGAGGGGTTGGACCTGCCGGAGAGCAGCTCTGCGGAGAGGACCTGGGAGTGCTGGTGGGCAACAGGTTGCCCATGAGCGAGCAGTGTGCCCTCGTGACCAAGAAGGCCAATGGTCTCCTGGGGTGCATGAAGAAGGGTGTGGCCAGCAGTTTGAGGGAGGTTCTCCTCCCCCTGTACTCTGCCCTAGTGAGGCCACCTCTGGAGTTCTGGGTCCAGTGCTGGGCTTCCCAGTTCCAGAGAGACAAGGAACTGCTGGAGAGAACCCAGGAGGTTCCACCTGACCAGGAGGAGAAACTTCTCTGCTGTGAGGGTGTTGGAGCCTACAGCAGGCTGCCCAGAGAGCTTGTGGAGTCTCCTCCTCTGGAGAGATTCCAAACCCACCTGGTTGCCATCCTGGGCACCCTGCTGTGGGTGACCTGCTGGAGCAGGGGGGTTGGATGAGGTGATCTCCAGAGGTTCGCGCCAACCTCCACCATGCTGGGATTCTGGGATTCTTCTTCCTCGCAGCCAGGATACCTCCTTCTGCAACAGTTCTGGTAAGAACCACCCACACGGGTGGTCAAAGCTGCAGCTCCACAGCTTCCCCTGCTCCCAACTTGAGAAGGGTGGGCGGTGAGGACAGAAGGATGTGCCACCAGCACGGGCAGACACCTGTGTGGGGAGAGCCACCAGCATCTGGAGGTTGAAAAGGTGACAAGGTCTTCTGGGGACACGCTGCCCCCGGGACACCCTTCCCTCCTCCCACAGAAGCCTTCTCAGGTGAGCGGGCGGCTGGCCCATGCCAGAGCCCCTCACACAAAGCGGCCGCTGTGCAGAGCCTGCAGGAGGTTCATAAAGACCTCCTTATGCACCCGCACCAGCCCGGGGCATGGTGGGAGCAGGGGGAGATGCCCCCCCGGGGAGGCAGAGCTGCGGGCTGGGCTGCATGGGCTGTGCCACAAAAAGCCACTCCTGGCCCCTGCCCAAAGAGGAGACTAGGACATGAAGCAGGGTGTTACAAAGGTAAATATTTATTCTTTCATAAACAGGGATGACGGGAAACAGGGATTCCAGCCAAACTGGGCATCCCAGATATGGTTTTGCATGGGTTTCTTCTACCCTTTGAATCTTGGAGGACAACATGACTTGGCTAATCACCAGCAAATTAAGAAGAGTGTGGCCAGCAGGTCAAGAGATGTTCTTCTCCCACTCTGCTCTGGCCTAGGGAGGCCACCTCTGGAGTTCTGGGTCCAGTGCTGGGCTCCCCAGTTCCAGAGAGACAAGGAACTGCTGGAGAGAGTCCAGCAGAGGCTGCAAAGATGCTGAGGGGCTGGAGCATCTCTGTGCCAGGAAAGGCTGAGAGACCTGGGGCTGTTAAAACTGGAGAAGAGAAGCCTGAGAGGGAATCTGATCAATGCTGAGCAAGAGCTAAAGGACCCACAGGGAGCAAGACGCTGGGGCCAGACTCATCAGTGGTGCCCAGCGACAGGACAAGAGGCAATGGCCACAAACCGGAACCCAGGAGGTTC